GTGGCACCCTTTGAATATCTTGAAATACAGAGGGTTGGTGTCTTCTAGTCTCCTGATGTTTGAGTTGCAGTTCCCAGCTATAGATTTCTTCCCTCATTTTTTCTTCTACTTACTTTCTTCCAACATGCCAGCCTTAATATCAAAATACCAAATAAATATACTGACCTTGTAAAGGCTAATCACTCCCACCAAAAGATTGAACAACTAATATAGAATATATAATAAGAACTAAAAAATTTCCATTTTTGCTGCATATACACATGATGGGAACATAATGGGATATTTCTGAGAAACTTAATTGTTTGGAAATATCATTATTATCATAACTTCAGATTATGTTCTTTGTTACCATAGTAAACATCACTATCATTTGTAGCAGTTGAAAATCAAAACATTGCTGTGGTTAATGTTAGGGTTACATCAAATATCAGCCTTCTGAGTGTTAAATTGAACTTCTTTTGGAAAGTTTCATAAATATTCTGGAGAGCCCACATAAGAGAAAAAGAAGACAGAAGACCCACCTGGATACAAGCAGCACAGATGGTCACCAACCAGAGACAAAGCTTAGTCTGAAAATGTTGATGGGTATTGGGATGTGTGAAGTCATAAGAAATGTTTGAGTGACTGTAAAACTTCTCATAAAGGATTTTGTTTTTTTTCTGGGAGTAAGAATTGAGTGCAATTTGAGTGGCTTTTCCATTACGTACCCAGTATTCATATTTGAAAGTATTTCTCAGTACATTTAGGTGGGTAAAGTTCTATAGTCCCAGTTTTGATTTCTGTTATTTTATTTTCACAGTTTAGGATCTTAATTGTTGAGAGTGTAATATGAGGCATTTCTCCAAAACAGTTTTGATAGATAACAAATATAATATGAATACACACACACTCTTACATACACATGTGTACACTTGTGCGCACGTGCATGCACACACACGAGAGACAGACACAAAGAGACAGAGATAGAGACAAACAGGTAGACAGACTGAGACAAAGAGAAACAGACAGAGACAGAGAAAGGATCCTTAATTTATTTCTAGATTTAAGAGATAGAGCATTTGAATGCTATTAACAATGATTTTTGTAGTAAACAGAAAGTAATCCCATATCTTTCTGATATGTTTACAGTCATCTATGAAACATCTGGAAACTTGGTTAATATTTTATTTAAGAGGGGTGTTTCTTCTGGGTTGCTTTTTAGGTATAGAAGGTATTTTGAATTTCCATTGCTGTGTCATGACCTTTAAAAAGGTCATAAAACATAAACCAGTTACGTTTTCACTGGTTAAGTTTAAATAATGAACAGAATATTACCAAAGACTGGATTGGTTGCTTTCACTTTGCCTGAAAATATTTTTATGAAGATTTGAGATATGCATGCAATATAAATGCTTTACGGACCACTGCATTTTTAATTACTGTTCCATTGAGATAGAACTCTTGGTTTAATTTGCTGTAAGGTATTTGTATTGAAAGCTTTGTCAGCCCTCTGGGGAGATATTATTTTAAAGTTAATTCCTTCCACTATATGGGTCTCAGGAGTAGGATAAATATTACAGTATTAAGTACTTGTAGAAAACTAAAAACAGTCTCAGTGGGTTGCTTGCTTGATAAATGCATTTAGGGAAAAATATCACAATAGTAGGTGTTATGTATAAAAGAAATGCTTTTATTTATTTTTAACTGAGTAAGTGCTTATGTCATAGAAACCACTCGATGGTGTTGTTGAAAAAATTCCGTTCCTGTAGCTTATAAAAAACTCAAGTCAGTCTTTCTCCCATTCTCTTACACTGTGTTGCTTTATGACAAGTCCTGAGAATTGAACCTTGTGCATGCTAGCTGAATGCACTACCACTGGGTTACATCATAATCCCATACTCTTATATTAAGTATAATGCTTCAAGTAAAGCTCATTTCTAACATTATGTATATACACATATGTAGATACAAATATATACAATATTTCATATATAATTAATAACTGCTTATTAAATATATACATACATAATATTTACAAATACAAATTTGTATTTGTATATATATATATATATATATATATATATATATATATATATATAAATTTACAAATACCCAATTTAATCAGAAGAATGACGTGGAAGCATCTCAAGCTGAGCATTTGATAGCAAAACAAATATATATTTCATTTACTCAGTAGCCATTGGCTTAGGAGGCTCAGAAACATTTTAGAAAAATATTGGAAATGTCTACAGAAATGGGTAGCATGTGAACTTGATGGGTATCTATCCACTTAAATTATGATGCAAGTTAATCTTCCAAGAGAACTGACTCTGGCTGAAGGACGTTGTTGCTATACTTAAGTGTTAATTTCACCTAATTTCAAATACAGCCTATCAGAACCTCCTGTTAGAATTATCAGTCCATTTGAGTCTTCTCTTATTTGTAGAGCTTAGTATGTTGTTAAAATTTTTAATAACTAGGAAAAAAAACATAAAATACATAGACTTATTGGAGCACTCCCTAGAAAATAAAAAAGTAATAAGTAGTCAGTCTAACTATGAATTGAATTTGCCCCCACCCCCGCTGTGCTTTGGAATAAATTGTCACAAAAGTGCTGAATTTCTGGCATCCATTACCTTATATTTGTGTTCATGTGTAGAAAGTGGAAGAAAACTAGAAATAAACAACAAACAAAAAGCTGTAGAATAATGAGTTCAGAAGAGAGCTAACAAAATAGTTCCAAGTAATGCAGATATCTCAATAAGCATTCATAAATCATCTTTACTAGTCCCCCCCACTTTTTCCATTTTAAAAGAGTATTTTTTCATACTTAAATCTAATGCATTTTGACTGATATACCCCTTTTCCCCAACTTTCCGAATTATTCCATGTGTCTCTGAACTCTTCTCAAATTCACATCCTCTTTATTTAGTTATTTGTCATCATTTATTGTTATTGCTTATGTGTGTTCATATATATGAAACTTACTAGCTCCAATTAGTGTTTCCCCTATACACACGGGTATAGGCTGACATTCGCAGCATGGGTGACTACGAGGGGTCTTGTCACTCAAGATACCTGACACTCTTTCTCTCTGCAGCTCTGGACTTTCTGTAGCTCTTCAACTTGGAGTAGGACCTTGTGAGCCCATCTTCAACCCATGCTGGGATGTTGATTCATGTGGTATTATGCAGTTCTTATGCAAGCAATCATTGAAGCTGAGAGTTCATGGGTAAAATCTTATCAAAGTGGAGCTAACCACTCAAAACCATTGACTGGCATTTCTCCGGTGCATCATGAAAAAGCAGAGTTAAATGAATGTAATTAGTATGTGACACCAAAGCCTTTTAAATGGTAAATGTTAGAAACTGAAGAGCACTCCCTAACTGATACCACTTTTTTGTTTTATAGTGTCCTGATTCAGCATGTAAGCAAGATTTATTAGCCTACCTTCAACGGATTGCCTTGTATTGCCATCAGCTTAACATTTGCAGCAAAGTGAAGGCAGAAGTTCAGAATCTGGGAGGAGAGCTCATTGTGTCAGGGGTAAGCTGGGATTTGGGCTTCACAATGACAAGTTCCCACTGCTGTACTTCCAAGGCAAGCATTCTTGGCAACAGTACTGCTAAAAACACCAAATGACAGTGATTCACAGCTTAAAAAAAATGTTATCACCATTATTCCAGACTTTACAATAGCTCACAAAGAACAATTTGATTTTCCAATTACCCCATGTTTATACTAGCCTTGTAAAATCTCCATTCTTCACAAGAAAACTAATTTCATAGTCTGGAAACTCATTGCCAAGCTGTGACTATTCTAATTATTGGGGGCTTTTGCATATTTACTCATTGTGAGTAGGCTTCCCCTTTGTAAGTGCTGGTAATTTTCATTCTCTGTTCAGGAGCCAGCTTCTCTAAATGTGGACTATGTTCACATGTTAGAGATGGTGAGACATTTATCAGGTTCCAATGCATACTAGGTTATCAGTAACCCTTGACAGTCAGTTGTTTGAATTTAATACATATTGATGTGCTGTTGCCAAAACCCTACATAGTTCTCAAACACTCTGTTATATATTCTTTGGTAGATCACCCTAATATTTCTCTTTTCATAAATATATTTTATCTAAACCATTTTCATCAAAGAATAGACACCAAAAGTTCAAAGAATTTTTAGAAGAATCAAGGTTTCTTGGCAAGATTTCCAAATGTTTGTGTTGAGGTTCTTCACCTTGGCTTCTTCTCCCTCATCCCCTTTCTCTCAACACAAGGTGCCATTTATTATAATGATTTCCATGTTCCAAAGTGTGGCCATGCCACTTTTAGTTCTTTTCCCAGCTAGCCATGATGCAGCCACTGTACCTGCAGATTGAGCAGGAACAAAACCATATCAATATGATGAATGTGTGAGCAAATATTCAGTTCCTTTTGAAATCATTTCTGTTGTCTTGGAAAGTCAACACTACAGTGTGATAAATCTCTGTGGATAAGTTTTAAACCATCCTTAAGGCAAGTGTTTCTGTTTCTGTGTGGCTTGCCTTGCTGAAAACATAGCTGGGAAAGAGCTGGTATGGCTGGCATGGAGTCTCATCTGGAAAGTCCGTTCCACACAGTTATACCTTAGAGCTCAGTCAGTTGGCTATTTTGTGCCTCTTCCCAATGCACAGTCACCTCTTTGCATTTCCAAAATGATCCTGCTTCAACATTCTTTCACAACCAAGAGCTATCTGTCTTGCACAGTGTCCTTCTGTCTATCTGGTGATGATCAATTCTCTCTTGCCAAGAAGTGATCAAAACATTGCATCTCCCTTGCTTCCTTTTTGATCTTCGGCCTTGATGGTACAGTTTTCCATACCACTCTGCTTTCGTACCCATTTGTCCATCGCACCTGTGAAACCGAGTGCTTTTTGTTCAGCTTGCCTCATGTGCTTCCATTTGTTACTTTTCAAATCTTAATGATTGACATGGATGCTCAGTGTATCCTTGTGGATCTCAGACTCCATCACTCTCATCTGGGCAAATATTATCTCTGGTAGAGCTGCTGTCCATCAACTTCTCAGTTCCCATTGTCTGTCACTGCCTCCAGAGCTTCATTTCCATTGTCCTTTGGTCATGTAGATTTAGTTCAAACCATCATGGCTTTGACTCACTCGCACTGTTGGCATTTGAGAGGTGTTTGAGATTGAGAACACCATCAAGAAGCCTGTTTCCTTCCTTGAGTCTTACTAAGTTTATAAATCCTTGTATGGGAGAAGGCTTCTTATAGAGGAATGTTATATAACTCTATGATAATCCAGAGTCAAGTGCATTTTATGAACATTGGCTGTCATACTGCTCAGTTGTGGTCCTTCTTGGGGCCGCCTCATGGCTTTTGTTTTCAAGCTTGACTGCTGTGTGGTGCCACATCTGCATCTGTAAGCTGGCTGTCTTTCTCACTTCTGCTTTCATATGAGTCTTCATCCTTTTTCACTGATAGCCAAAATGGAGAAAAGTTAAAAAAATAAACATTTTGTGCAAAATAGCCACAAATGACTGCCTTCAAAGTTTAGAAAGTCAAAGATATGAGAACCCATATACACAAATTTTCAATTATGTTGCCAAGAAAGATACACCAGTGTTGTGTGCCACATTTATATTATTCTCCATTGGGACAAAATTGCTACATTTTTCAGGAGAGGTCATTGTTTCACATATAATAAAGAAGGAGATATTTGAATCCTCCTGCTTGTCTTCCCATATCCCTGGAGTTCATCAATATGGCTTTTTTTGGAATATATGAAAACTACCAGGAAGTCAACATCTCTGTCAAATGAATAGAGATTTGGATAGATTACCTACAGTTGCCAAGAAAAAAAAAAGAGTTTGAAAAGACAAGCCATGTGTTATGTTGTCATGGTGCACATTAAAATAAAACACACATGTATGTACCATGTCAGCATATTGATGTTTTATGTGATTCTATGTGGATGAGGTGGAACTGGCTTGTTTTATTGTGTCTGCTTTTGACTTGAAATGGTGGAAAAAGAAAACTCAACCAATTATGGTAGAGAATGGGCATAAAATCTTCTTTCTGAGTCATGACAGAAGTGACAGAAATCAAGCAGTCCAAGATGGATGTCTCTGGAGACTCATCATCACATCTACTGTCTGAAAGCACTCATTGTCTACTGGTAATCTATTTTCTAGGTTGGCTTCTGCAATTCTGAACAGCCCAATGGTGCAGTTCTTATTAAATTTCAAGGTAGTAGATGCATTTGTGAGTCAATCAGTTCCATTTAGTTATAAATAAAATAATGCACAATTTTTTAAATCAACAGAATGATATAAATATTAGGTCAAAAAAGGAAGGCATGGATTTAAGAGATTAGCCAGTTTGAGTATGAGCTAGCATTGTCTCCTTTAGTGTTGTTTGAAGTTTTAAGTCTGTTTTGGGAAAGGGAATAAAAGATAAAAGGGAAGAGGAAGCCTAAAGCAAGGAGAAAAAGGGGAAGGGAAGGAGAAATTTTACCACAGCGTACCAAACTAGTTTAACATAATAGTCTGTTAAACATGACAACGTTGTATCATTGTGGGAGGAAACTTGAGCCAATGTGTGTGTTTTTGTCTTTTTAGAGTGGCTGTGTGTATAATGACATGTGTGTCTGTTAGTGTTGTGTAGGTGTGCAAGTGAGTAATAGTACACGTGTGGAGAGAGGCCAACATTGGCTATTTTTCCTCAGTCACTCTCTACCTTTAGTTTTAGAGAAAGTGTCTTTCAGGGAAACTGAAGCTCATTGGATTGGCTAGGCTGGGTGGCCCACCAATGAGCTTCAGAGATTCTCTTGTTTCTATGTCCTCCGGTGCTATGTTATAGGCACAAGCCACAATGCTGAGCTTTTCATGTCGTGCTGGAGATAGATCTCAGATCTTTATGCTGGGAGAGGAGTCATTTCATCAACTGACCCAACTCTTCCGATCCCCTGAGCCAAAGTTTTTTTAAAAAATGTAACTGTTATTTTGATTATTTCTTTTTTTTTATTTGAAACTATTCTCTCATACAATACATCCCAACCAGAGTTTACCCTCCTTCCACTCTTCCTAGTTCCTTCTACCTCCACCTGCCCCAGATCCACTCCCTCTCTGTTTACTCTTCAGAAAAGAGTAGGCCTCTAAGATATGACAGCCAAACAAGACAAAATAAGACAGAATAATACAAAGCAGAAGCCCTCCTATCGAGGCTGGACAAGGCAACCCAATAAGAGGAAAAGAGTCTCAAGAGCAGGCAAAAGACTCAAAGATACACCACAAAACACCAAGCTAACAGCCATAACATATAAAAAGAGGACCTAGTGCAGACCCATGCAGTACCTGAGCTTGCTTTTCAGTCTCTGTGAGCCCATGTGAACCCCGCTTAGTTGAGTAAGTGGCCCATGTCATAATAAAGTGATTACCTAAATTTAAAAAAGGCAGCATTATTTATATCAGAATTTTATACAAGGCATTTTGATCATATTCACCAAATCCTTCTCTTAAAATCTCTAGATCTACACTTTACCTCCCCATTCCTTTCTAATTTTTTGTTCTTTAAAAAGAAGAAATAAACTTCCCCCCCCTTTTATTTATTTATTTATTTATTTTTTCATTTTACATACCAACCTCTGTTCCCCCTCCCTCCTCTTCTCTGGCCCTCTACCATCCCCGTGTCCCACTCCCATCCCCTCCTCATGGGGGAAGGGGGTCAAGAAAAAAACTTTAAAAAATAATGTTTTATATATACATGTGAGTGCCTGAATATTTTGTCTGCACACTTCTTACTTACCTGGTGCTTGTGGAGGTTAAAAGACAGTATCAAATTCTCTAGAGCTGGAGTTACAGCTGTGAGCTACCATGTGGGTGCTAGGAACTTAACCCAAGTGCTCTTAACTGCGAGGCCATCTCCCCACATATTGTGTCCTTTTTTCTTTCTTTTTTCCTTCCTTCCTTCTTTTCCTTTCTTTTTCTTTTTCTTTCTCTCTCTTCTCTCTGTCTTTCAGTTTCTGGTTTCTCTTCTTTCTTAGTAACCTACTGAGCCCTCTTTGTGCTGCATGTCAATGCTGGAGTGTAATTAGCCTACCAGTTCTCCTGTGAAGAAGACAAATTCTACCTCCCTCCAAAGCCACTACATATCAATAGCTACTCATGAGCCTTTTGAGGGGCTTTCACCCCTGTGCCGGAATGTTGACAGGCTTAATCTTGTTTCAGGGCTTGTACAGGCAACCACAGCAGCTGAGTTCATGAATACAGGGGTCTCGCCATGTCCATAAGACACAGTTACACTTCCAAGATGGCCTCTGAGTCTTGAGAGAAGGTGAATACATCCATGTCTTATTTGTGGCTGAGCACTCCACTAATATTTTTTCTCTGCTCTTTTATCACTTGTGAGATTGTGTTAACCACAGTCCACTGCACAAAGAAACTTCTCTGGTGAGGTCTGAGAGAGACACGCATCTAGAGGTATAGAGAGTAAGGAAACAATTGCAAGTTATTTATTATTGTTTGTGGGATGGTAACATATGTGTGTGCCACAGCAATTACATGGAGGTCAGAGGTCAATTTTGTGGAGTCAGTTCCCTCCTTCAACCTTTAAGTGGGTTCTGGGGATCAAACTCAATTCATCAGACCTCTGTGGCAAGCATGTTTACTAGCTAACCATCTCACTGGCCCAGTTGAAAGTCATTCTCATTGTGCATATTTTATCTTATGTGTTTAGCAAATTCTAATACAAGATGAAGATGATTATTCATGGTGATCGATGAATAATATTCTATAAAATACTGTTAACTAATAATTTTCAAAATCATCTTGACAATAGCACATATATAATGATATATGTATATCTATATATACACAGAAAAAAAACACATACACTTCATATTTCTTTTTTCCCCTCAGTGTGCAAGAGTTCAATAGTTGGTATATATGATCTGAACTAAAACAATTTATAAAAAAGAAAATGTGCAATGTTATATATATATATATATATATATATATATATATATATATATGTATATTTGTCTAGTTGGTAAGGGTGATATTTTATTTGAGTGAGTCTATATCTCCTGATACACACACACACACACACACA